GCACATATGTAGAGCTGATATAGCTCTATAAAGTTACTGGTCAGATTTTTTTAAAACCCCTTAGATAAAAAGTTATACCCATTTAAAAAATTGAAACACTTCGTGTAACTGTTGAGTATAGATTTCCTGCACCATAAAAGAAAAATCTTGGCTTAAATATTTTTAATGTTTTTCAAAGTGAATTTATAACAAAGTTCCAGGTAAATTTTCCAGTATATCCTATAGATTAATGAATAACTTAAATTTTTTGATAAAAGCTTTTATATATAGTTAAAAGTCAGTTACTATAGCAATTTTATCGTTATAATTATTTTGTATAAGGCCATGCAAATAAAAAAAAACCGAAACTTAAAAAAAAATAAAAAATAAAAAAACATCGATAAATTAAAAAAAAAATGAATAAATAAAATTGTAATTGAAAATTAAAATAAATAAATAAATAAAAAAACAATAAATAAAAAGATTAAAAATATTATACTTATACGCTTAAGATAAAATGCTTTTTTAAAACTTTATATAACATTTTTTTAGGTTACGTATAACAATAACATCCGGGTACTGGGTGCCCTTGGGCCTTAAGATGTTATTTACAGATTATATTGCAAGAAGATATTTATTGCTCGCCTTGTGGGCTTTATTACCCTTTTTTTTTTCTGCCCAGTCATGATGACCTTAAACAGCGAAAGGATACTGATTTTTGGTACCGGTAAGCATAATTGGCTCCGCGGCTATAACTATGGCTGAAATATTTTGACCATTTCGGGCAATTTGGCATAAACTTATGCAAGACCTTCAGAATAATTTCAGCAGACTCTGGAACTTTTGGCAATCCATACTTAATATATGGCCAAAACTTCAAAGTTTAACCGAAAATTATTCTGAAAAAGCCGAAATACCAAAGGGCTTTGCATAAGTTTCTGCGGATCTGGTTTAACATATATGAATCTGATTTCTACCACCTTTACAAAATTATTGATAACTTTAAGCATTTTCCAAATTGCCGAAATGATCGAAATATTTCGGCCACAGGTGTATCCGTGGTTGCAGTAGGTGGTGCAGGGACCTTATTTGATGGTAATTGGACTCCACGATTGCAGTAGCAGCGCAAGGACCCATCTAGAAGTACAGTAGTAGGACTTCACAGCTATGTTAACAGTGCAGGACCTCCTTTTTCCGTGAAGTAGTAGCATCTATTGCATACCAATTCTCTTTATAGTTACCGTATTGGCGCGTAATAACGCACATTGGGCGTTATTTCGAACCTCCCATTTTTTTGAAAATTGTTTTTTCGACTCAAAATAACGCCCATGCACGTCCCAAAATAACGCGCCCACTTAGATGTACCATATTGCATATTTTGATCGAATTTTTCAGGTTAAGTTCATTATTAAAAGTAGGGCTTCCTCTTGTAACCCAAATTTGTCAAAATTGATTCGAATTACCGCGCATGGTCTCGAAATAACGCGCAGATGCACGTTATTGCGCGCCAATACTGTATGTATCCCTTATTGTGGCCATTTTTATTATATGGAATATATCGACTAATTCGAATAGCATAGGAGAGGGTATCTTGAAAGCATAGTAAGTAATAAGGAAATGAAATAGTTGTGAAACAAAGCTCTTAAGTTTATAATATTTCAAATAAGTTAGAATAGGGTCAGTTACTAGTGAAAGTTATTTACAGTACCTTAGACTTTCAATATATATATAGTTGATACTGTCTAATTGCATATACTCTCTAAATGCATAAAAAATTTTAACTTTTAATTATTAACACAAAAATGGTTCTTATGACTTAAATGCATATATTGTCTATATGCATAAAAAAGTCTCTGACGGATAGTATGCAATTAGACAGTATCGACTGTAGATTAATTTTTGCAGAGCCTAGTGTGTTTTTAATCTGACCAAGCTTTTTTTAAATCCGATTTTATCAGAGTGAAAACTTGGATGTGAAAATAATTTTTCACCATAGCCAAATTACTACGCATATTATTGACATTCTGGTCATTTTGACCTCATCGTTATAATAAAAATACTATAAAAGTGACACATGCTATCAGTGACCAGAATGCCAATCGTATACACAATATTATGATACCTTCTAGATTAATTTGTTATAGTGAAAACTTGGTTTCACTATGATAAGTTAGCATCCTAGTTCAATGCAATAACAAGGTGTTCCAGAACAAATTTAGGCCACAATCAAATGTGAAGTTCGTGTCAAATTGATAACCATCAGAAAAAAGTCTGTCTAGTTGATATAATAAGTTTTTGACCTGATAAAACTTTTGGTCAACATAAATTAAGTTCAGAATCACAAATTAAAAATTAAAATTAACGCGAACAAAATGGAATTAAATAGTAAATATTTATTATACTTACGAATTAAAATAAATCAGCATGAATGAACCGTGAAAAATGTGCTACTACTACATTTACAAATTTACAATATATCGATATTTGTTGTGTTTTATGAATATGTATGGCATTCTTAAAAAAAAACTATATATATTAATATAAAATAATATTTGACTTTTTTAAAAAAATTCACCCGGCCGGGTTACGAGAACCAATTTTATTTATGTGCACGACCTAATATTACAGGTGTTATTATTTCAGTCCAATCTACAAACTTTGTGTAAGCTCCGGATATTTACTTCCGATTGCAATTACAACTTCTTCTACATGATGACAAACATTTTGGATTGCCATATCCCATTTTGCACCAAGCATACCACCAACTGCCTTTCCAGCTGAATTACTTTCAAAGAATATTAATCTTTCAATTTGATCGATTGTTCCTTGCATTCGTCCCTGTTCAATCATTGAACTTGCAATTTGTTCAGCCTGATCAGGAGTAATGGCAAGTAAGGAACCAAGTTCTTCAAATGTAATGTTGTTATAAATCATGGAAGCTGATAAAAGGTTGTGTTCAATTACAGCACGATCGAGAACGGTTGTGCCATCAGCGAGTCGTGCACGTTGATGTTCTTTAAGGGTCTCTGCAAACCCTTTAACTTCGTTTGGTCGCAAAACACGATCAAGATACATTTTTTCAAGAATAGAAAAATGCGGTAGACGTTGTACTCGTTCATCCTTATATAGTGTGGCCAACATTCGCGAACGCTGAGGGCCAGCGCCAGCAAGGACTGCACAAGTAATAGCAGCATTACTAACATCATTATATCGGATAGATGTAAGCAAATATTTTAAAAGAGTTGCCTAATATGATAAACCTAATAATAACTCACAGACAGTTTGTTCGATCTTCTGTTGCTAACTCAGGTACATAACTCAACTCATGATATTTCGAACTAGCTTCAAGGAACTTTCTTTTGAAATCAAAGATCTTAGCTTGTGATAATTTGAATGTTAAGTTAATGACTTGATCTTTACAACCAGGAATTAATAACGCGGCGCGACTTAAATACGTTTCTGTTGTTACTGCTTCATCTTCTTCCAAAAGAAGTTGAATAATTTTAATATAAATCTTGAGCTTATATTCATCCGAGATAGCTCTTTATTTTGCAAAATACAAATATATATACATATATTATTAACATAATTGAATGAATTAATTAAGATCGATAATAAACAATATTTATTACATACCGGTGTCCTGAATCCAATGGAATTCCTTGCAACACTCTAGCAGCTTCGAGCCATTCTTCTTCAGCCTCAAGGATTTCGGCCAATTTTTCGCGGATCGTTGAAATCTATATAGTTAAAGCAATTAATGAAGATAATTTATTAGATCATTAAATCAGAATTTTAAAAAATTTATCAAAAAAAAAATATATATCAGACCTGTTCTTCAAAACTGACAATTCTTGGTTGGACCTTATTCAATGCAAAGTTTAAAACACGTTTTTTGATGGTAGAATTTTCAATTTTATCTATGCCCTGTACGAACTCGGTAAGAATTTGTCGAGTAATGACCAGACCGACTTGTTCTTGTACTATATGGTCAACAAATTTTTCCAGATCAGTTGCTAAAATTGTATCGTCTTTTGTAGAGAGAATTGATTCTAATAGAGAACGGTATTCAGTAGTTTTATCCTTTTGTGAAGGAATGGCAGCAATTGCAGCAAGTCGTGTTTCGCTATCCGACATATTTATTATAAGGTTGTACCGGATTAAAGGTTGCGGATAAAACGTCAGATAACTTTATATATGGACATCCGTGTCACGTGATTGTGGAGGAATAGTAAATTTTACTGAATTAATTACATTTCTCAAATCCGAAATCAAAATCTGAAGCAAAGAAATATATAGCTATGTATGCATATATATTTTATTTCAGTTCTAAAAATTCTACTTAAATATATAAATGTATGCCATAATAATTTATTTATAACTTTTAGTGATATCGATCCAAGAAATCGACTTTAGTTAGCGTTAATCGATATAACAATCAACCTGAATTCGACTAGTCGATTTCAATATATGACTTAGCGTATGCATATGACAAAACTCATTATGCTAAATATGCTAAATATGCTCTATATATTCATATATATATTTGTATATATATATATAGATATAATTATGAGTGTAAAAATAAATGATAGGTAAAAAGCAAAGCTACAGTAGAGAGCTTTTTTTTAATAACTTTTTTAATTTGAAAATTTTCAACTACAGTATTTAAATAATATATCTTAAAAATAACGGTTTGAATATAATAGAATAAAAATTCTCAACAAGTCACAATTAATTAGTAAAATTATAAATAGATTAATTTAATACAGTAATAATATAAATGCAGTATTTAACAAATTTAAAGTATTATACAGTATATTAATTAAAAAAAAAATCGGTATATTTGTTAAAATTTTTTAAATTATTATATTTAATAAAATATTTTGACACATTTTTATAGATGTACATATTTGCGAAATATTTAATTAAAAGTAGTGTATTAAAAAAAAAGTAATACTGTAGGGTTAGATTTGTTAAATAAAAAATTAATAAAATTTATAAAATTAATTGTTTATAAACTTAAAATTTCTTTAATCTTAATGATGTTTTTTTTATTGACAATAGTTATTCGGAACCATGCATTGACTGAATAATTCGATTTATTGTCTTCAAAAGGTATTTTCAAAAATATCGAAATCTGCAGCTACTGTAGGTACGTATACTCTTGACTAGGGTTCTGCATGGGACTGGACCAGGGCTTGGATTGAGTTGGATCTGGTCTCAAAAATTCGGATCCAGATCCAAAAGCTCATGGATAGCTCATATTTAAAGCTGATTGGCCAAAATTACATGTCATTGACGTCAAATTATGAATCAGAGCTTATTTACGTTACAGTTGTCATTTGGATTAGAGATGGCATCATGCACCTTAATTGTTACATTATTAATAATATTATGAAAATCACATCGGAAGTCAACATTTACATAAGTTATAATATGTGACGACTAAGCACCATGCCCATCTCTAATTTGGTTTTGATGGACTGGACTTTAAAATATCTAGCCCATGCGGAACCCTACTCTTGATCCGTTAGGATCACTGGGGTGACATAAAGCATATATCTATAAATACCAATAGAAACATTATATAAAATTTATTATACAGTATATATATATATTTTCAAGTCGTAATTTTAACATCAATGAAGATTAATTTTAAATAAGCATAAAAAAATTTTCAAATTAATTTGAACAATGGATGATTCGAATGAATTTTTATTAAGGGGGGGGGGGGGTATTATTTTTTTTTTGCTTTTCTAAAAATTATTAGAATTTTTAATCGAATTTTTAATCGAATTTTGAAGAAAACTTTGTCAAAAAGTTTATGATTAAAAATTTAACTTTTGAATGTGAAAAGCTTTCACTTTTATAATTGTTTTCCTTGTTGTGTATCAAATATAAATATAGCTATTAAAACTATTAGACCTAGCCTAACGCTTTTTACTCCCATATCCTATCTAGTCGCTAAATCACAGTTTTTTTTTTAATTTTATAGAATTGATTTGAATTTGACACTAATAACCAAAAATGGGTTATATAATCGGGTTTTGGATATTATTTCAAGGAAGTATAAATTCCAATTTCCAGACCCTAACTATGTAATAATGTCACAATTCAAGAAGAAAAAAAGTTCGGATCGTAACCTTAATTATACATTATTAAGGTTGTTAAATAATAAGACAGCTGATTTTTTCAGCTTAAACATTAAATTCAGATTGTTTTTTCCTACTACTTTTTGTTCTTTGTAATTCTGATCGCTTAACATTGTTTAACTCATCATTTGAATTTTTTTCGCTTATCGATTTCGAATTATCATCGTTCACAGGAGGATCTTGATTAGGGTCATCATAAACTTCATGCTGATAAGTTGATCTTTTCGAGTTTAAATTTGCGATAGCGTTTCTTCTAATTATTACAAAACAAACGAGTAATAGAATAAAGACTAGAACACACCCAAAGATAACTACACCGATTTTCGACCAAGAACCAAATGGGCCAAGAGACACCTTATCATTATTAATAGAAGCAGCTAAAGCAGCAAGATCTGGACAGACATCCTGCTGATTACATTGGTCACCATATATGTTCACAGTTGCTGATAGAGTATTATTTTCAGGAATTTGTGGTATTAACATAGTCATTTCAACATAAAAAGTCAATTTGTCCTTTGAATCACATCTATACGTAAAATTACCATCGTCTTTTCTTAAACATGATACATATGAATAAGGAGACGATGGGTTATCTTGTACTACGTATTCCGGTGGAAACGAAATCATAACAACGTACGCGTTGTCACGCTTACGAGAGTCCACATGGGAAGCGTTTACATCAACTCGATATAAATGTGGCGATTGTGTGGCGTTGTAGCCTAACGAAAAGCAACATTTTGTACTTTCTATTGGAAAAAAAAAAAAACATTAAATTTCAATATCCGGAATAATGAAAAATTTGTCTATCGATGCAGGTATAAATGACTTTCCGCACATATGTGCACGTACATGTTAATCGTGCATATGTAGCAACATACAAAAATATTAAATTATGTACTTACGTGCATCAACGGCATTCATTCTGGTCATTAAAATGATAAGCAAAGCCGTTAATAACAGCCATCTCGTCCTTGCTATAATTATATATGAAGAATTCATGTAATAAATCAAGTTTATAAAAATTTTGTTGAGTAGACTCTTTAAAAGGAGTCACAAAAAAAAAAAAAAAAAAATTTTCACGTAAAAAAAAGTCAGTTGGTTGAAGTGAGAAATAGTGAGAATAGTGAGAATAAATAAATTATTTAAAAGCAAGGTTTATGAATGGTGAGAGAGAATAAAGGCTTTCATAATTAGGACGTTTATTGACTGTTATAAATTTCAAACTATAAAATAATAGTGTCCATTCCTTGGCCTGAACTAAAGTTATATTCTAAAAAGTAAAATACAAAAAGTGAACACGAAAAGCTTTGCTTAGAAAAGTTATACATATAAAATAAATCATTTTTATATTATATTGATAATAAAAAAGAAGAGAAGAATTACCTTTCAAAATTAAGATATTAAGATCATTGGTACGAATTACCTGTTAGAAAGAATTGATACAAGTTTTACAGGTTTGTAATTTTTTTATACTGATTTGAATTTCAAAAGTGCAGATCATATACATATTTTTTAAAAAACGAAAAGAGGTTTATCATGTGGTGGCAGGTTTGTATGTTACTCATATACGTGACATCACGGGGCTCAAACACTTCTTTTTTTGATGCAATTACATTTCTTTATCAATTTGAAAAGCTATTCATAGTACATTACTTAACTCATTTAAAGTAATTAAATATATATATATAATAATAAAGAATATACCACAATGGTCGATATATTTGAAAATTGTAGTTTAAATTTGTATTTAAAATTATTAAATTTTAATTTACTATTTTTAAAAATTATTGCAGATCAAAATAGTGCTATATGTAATATATCATACCGATACTAAACCGCTAATGATATAACATCGGATCAGTATGGCACAGATCTTAATATCGGGTATTTACTTACTGTGTATTTATTGTATTTATTGTGTATTTTATACCACTATATCATACAAGATCTCCATACTAATCTGCGTAATCTGCCTCCTGCCAAGCATTATATCTATATCTTTTATGCCACCTTTAAATGTTAGATAATGTATGTGCTGTATTATGAATACAGAAAAATAGGACACAACTTATTTTGAGTTTGCCAACTTAAAAGCTTTTATACGTACATTCAATTTTCTGCTAGATAGCTTTAAAAAATTAGAGTCGTTTACTTAATTTGCCCCTTCTTTGGTGATAGACCTTATAATTCGAAATTAATACGTATACATATACGTACACGATTGCTCCTTTCTTCTAATTTTGGAATTATATTATTAATTTGTTCACGTTTATATTTTTCATTTTATACTTTTATTTTATTGTTTAGAAATTAAACAGTGTATTAAACATTTTATTTAATAAATCTTTTATCATTATATATTCAAACTCAGATATTCATTATTCAGTTGTTTTAATATCCCAGATATCCGGGTACTGGTCAAGAATATTAATGAATCTTTAAATGTATTCATCATTGAAAATTCAGCAATATGTTTTAAGTTTATGACCTATTGATTACGAATTTAGATATTTTATTCTAAATCTGGATTACGCGGGTACATAGAGATCATTGTAATCTGATTAATAGTTTTTAAAAATATCATATTTTTAATTTTCATTTTCTTAATATTTATTCTTAATATTTATTTGTTTTCCCCATCGATCACTTCTCCGTCACAGCTACAATTATTTAATTCCCTAATAATCATTTCCCTGGCGCAATTGCACTACTTTTGGCGCAACTTAAGGCAAATAATCCCTAAATAGAATATTAAAATGAATCTTGCACTATTACATTCTCATTTTTGTGGCTTTAAGTCGATATGAGGTATATATTATTAAATTACCATATATTAAATGTGTTATAATAGTGCACTAACTAAAAAGACTGATTAGGTCTCTGCTATAGGTAGGCCTCCGCATGGGACGGGTAGGGCCGGGTAATGGCAATACCCTAGCCCTACCCGTCTGTGTAAGGGCTTTGCTTCTGAGCCCTTACCCTTACCCTAGGGCTCAAAACTTGATGCTCTAGCCCGGCCCGCAAAACCCGCGGGTACCCGTGGGCTTATTATTATTAATAGGAAGACTGTAAATTCATAGTCTGCCGGGTCCAGTTATTTAATTCATACGATTGGCTGATTTTTGTCAGCTCAGATATGGTATAAAACTCGTTCAACCAAAATAAAAACCAGTTTTTAACATTCTTGAATTGACATACATATCATACAATGCATACATTTACTATAATTAACGCGAATAAATAGATTTATTAGTTTAGATACTTAAATTAATAATAAATGTTCATTATATTTACAGATTATATTGCGCGAATAAAATGAATTAGATAGTAATTTTCATTAAATTAATAAATGAATACTTAATTTTCATTAAATTAATAATAAATGAATTATTTTGAATACTTAAATTAATAATAATTGTTCTTTACACTCATGATCTAAAATAAAATTATAAATGATAATTATTCCCGATGTTGAGTAGCTTGTATCAGTATAAATAGATAAAAAATTAGCCAATAATATGAACTGAAATTCACATGAAATATAAATAATGGGTACCCGCGGGCAGGGTTGGCAATGGAGCTCTATGGAGTCCAATGGAGCTGCGAATGGAACCAATGGAGCTCTGAATGGAGCCAATGGGCACTAATTTTTGAGCTCCATTCACGTAACCATTTAACTCCATTGGTTCCATTGCCAACCCTGCCCGCGGGTATGGAAGCCGGGTAGCGGTACTACCCAAGCCCTACCCGTTTGTGTAAAGACTTAGTTTTTCGAGCCCTTACCCTAGGGCTTAGGATTTGATACCCTAGCCCAGCCCTTGTGGGTCTACCCGCGGGTACCCCATGGGTAGCCCAGGCCCATGCGGAGGCCTAGCTATAGGAGATAAAGGCCTTCACGTGTCTGATAAAATTATAACTTCAGCAAACGTCTATGTGGGCCTGAAGGACTCGTCGCTGCGAGGAATAAATAATACTGTTGTTCTCATAAATCTGTAAATTATGGGATAAACTGATAAAATTTAACCGGTCGAAGTGTTTGATACATCAAAGCAATAATAGTTTAATTATATGATACGTACTTTATTGTAAAGGATGGGCAGTTTCACGACCTTAATAAGTATATTTATTAATAATAAACTAGATTTTTGATCAAAATAAATAAATAAATAACAATGTCAAAGAAATTATATTCATAATATAAAAAAACAACCGTTTGCCATCTGTTCGAAACCCCTGTGCATACGAAGATTTATAAACCCTAATTTTAAAGGCATTAAAACAATATATAATAATAATAAACCATTATTGTTATGTAAATAAGGTTTACTTACTACCGCCTATACGTAGTATACCCATGAAATATGATTTTAAGACCCGGGTATTATTTACCGTCCTACCGGTCTACTTCTTGAATAAAACCCGGGGTATAGCTACATTAATTTATTACTTTTCATAAATTCAGTATATATTGATAAATCAATTGGACATCAAATTTGTCATCACTGAATTTTCATATGAACACACTCCAAATATAGTACCCCGGGTATTATATAAGATAAACCTTATATTGAGACAATTTATTTAGTTTAATACTGCAATTTAGAGCAATGCTTACAAATATTGTCACTTAGAAGTTCAGTATAAGCATTAAAAGTTCTTTAGCACACGAAATTGTTCGACAATTCAACCTACAAAAACTTACTAAAATCTTAGTTATTACTCAAACTGTAATTATATAACAATGAATATGAAACTATATAGTAATAATATTATTAAATATATATATATAGTAAATATATATAATATATATACGTTTGTATTAAAAACACAGAGTTTGAATCAATATTTTCAGTTGCCCCAGAATTTGAGATCAACTTTGAATTTTTAATCGGTAAATAATTTACATATCTGGATATTCATTTATTCATTTAGTAAAAATATTTAGATATTCATTTATTCATTTAGTAAAAATATTTAGATATTCAGTAAACATTCCATGAATATCCCGGATTTACTATTCATCGGATCTGTTTTCTTCAAATTAGATCATCTTCCAGTACAGCAGTACCCACGTGCTAAGTCAGTGCTAAGTCTATATTTGGGATTTTGTTATCTAGTCTATAATTGGAATTTTTTAAACATATTAATTTGTACACAAATAAATAATCAATAAATATTTGATATTTTTATAGAAAATATCTGATATATAGAAATTTATAATGATAAGTAAAATCTTGGCACTATTTTCAAAATACCAGTTTAGTTAAAAAGATATAGACTAGTGTAGTAAATCTGTGCGATAGAATAAGTAGTGAATATTTTATAGGTCATTTTGTCTGATTAGGCTCATTTGAATCAATTGCCCAGGTAACTAATTTATACAAATTAATATACTTTTTGAGAAAATTCCATGCTTACGTAGAATAACTAGATGTGTCAGTGTTTATAAAGTAGGTATCAAGAAGATTAGCTTCTTAAAGGTTATATAGTATAGTTTAATACTGTATATGAATTGTATATATGAGTGTCGCCAAAAGAAAACCCAACAATTTAAATATAGACTATATTTAAATTTTTTATAATATATTTTAAAAAATAAATCAGAATTCAAAAAGTATATAAATTTGTTTATAATTGTTTACTATTTAAAAAAGGGAATTGCTATTCGTACCCCCCGTTTTTGCTATCCATACCCCCCAGATATCAAAAAGTGCTTCAAAATAGATATTTTTTCCAAGTAAACCCTTCTTTTGGTCTTAATAAAAGTTGTTAAACAGGTCTTTCCGGTTCTAATAGTAGTAAAATTATTAAAAACGAACTAATAGTTTTTTTAAAAAAGTATATGAAAGTTAACTAACTTCGGATATATATATCTTGAAAACTACTAGTCCGATTTTAATAATTTTACTACCATTAGAACC